GATTACAAGCACAAACCACCATCCCRGAAAAAAATGTACTTTTTGATGACATTTTAAGTTTATATGTAAAATAAGATTTTATGTTTTCTTTTAAAATATTCTACTTTTGGGCTGGGGATGTGGCTCAAGCGGTAGCGCACTCGCCTGGCATGCGTGCAGCCCGGGTTCAATCCTCAGCACCACATACCAAAAAGATGTTGTGTCCGCTGAAAACTAAAAAAAAAGAATAAATAAAAATTCTCTCTCTTTCTCTCTCTTTCTCTCTCTCTCTCTCTCTCTCCCTCTCTCTCTTAAAAAAAATTCTACTTTTACTATTTTCAATCTGACAACTTTATGAAATGAACAATAAGAATTAAAACTTAAATATATGCCCTTACCCTGTCATTTTTTAATTTTTTCATTTACTTTTTGGTATATAATAGTGGGTTTCATTATGCCATATTCATCCACGCACATAACTTCATCAACCTCTTTCCCTGTACCTYCCCTTCCTCTCTTCCTCCTCTGATCCACTTGCTCTGATCTGTATATAATTTTTCCCTTTGTATGAATAAGGTGAAGGAGCTTAGGGAGTTCATAATGGTTAAATAACTTGCCCAAGGTCAAGGATGGTGAGTGGTGGGGGCAGAATTCCAATCTAATCCCCCCCCCTGCCCCACCCCAGTGTTAGGGATTGAACTCTGGGCCTCCCGCCTGCTAGGTAAGTGCTGTATGGATGAGCTACAATCTCCAGCTTCCAATCCAGAATATTCTTAACCACTCTGCTCTGCTTCACTTCTCTTGACTTAAAACCTTYGTGTGGACAAGTAATTCCACTGGTCATGTTCGTTTTTCCTTATGGAACCTGACTGCTAAAGATGAGGGTGAGTGTGGGCCTTTCAGAGGAAGTCGATAGAGAAAGAAGGAGCCAGGGTGAGCAACCCCAGGTCCCTGCACTCCTGGGCCAGCTGTGCATGTGATGGCAGGGCAGGGCCTGGTAATAAGATAGGGATAGGGACTGTTAACTCTGATCAGCTAGCAGTGACAATCTATTTCTGAAATTGGGCGATGCCTTCAGACCCTTCCTATGGGCATAGCTGAGGAGCTAGAAATGCCAAGAAGCAAGGCAGGCTGGCCACCAATGTGGGCAGAGAAGTCTGCCCACACAATCTCTGGGCCTCAGGGACAAGGGTTAGGTCTATCTATGCAATGGGCTTACAGTTCTACTTCTAAACCCCAAGTGGGTTTAGAAGGACCARCGTGTCCTGCATCAGGAATGCATTAAAGTCTCCTGGGGATTCTTGCTCCTCCCTGGAGCTGTCTGCGTGGCACTCTCCACACTGTGTTAAAACTGTCTTGCGTGTCCCCTTCCTTCATCTCAGTTCTCTGACAACTCTCATCTTACCTGTGCTCAATAAATCCATAATCAAGGACTGGGAGCCCCAATGTAACCCCAAAGAGATCCCCAAAAGCCATGACAGCTGAAAAGGTCCAAGCACAGGGTACAGAGTATTCTCCCAGCCCTGGGCTCTGGTGTGTTTACCCACTACCTGGCTAATAGTAGGACTGCACTTCCGGCCCCAGGGGACCCCCCCCCCCTGTCTCTGGCAGCCCAATCCCTCATTTACCTCCTGTCCCTCTATACAAGGGACAGGCCATGGGAGGGAGCCCAGGACCCAGCTCTTGCACCTCGGGGAGTTCTAGGAAAGCAGAGGCAGCCAGACAGAACCTTCCACATGGGGGTGCTGGAAGAGCGCAGGAGAGAGGAAAGCAGCGCTCAGAGGCTCAGTCACCCAGGTGGCAGAACCAGATTGTTAGCTAACAGCTCCCTGTCCCCTGAGGGTCCCCAAGAGGCAGCCAAGACCCCCTCACTCTTCTGCTTCTCCTCTATTGCTCTTTGGGGCTCCCAGTCAAAGTGGAAAAGCACGCAAGCGGCAGATGATCAGGATTGGAATCCCGCCTCTGCTAGTCAACAGGTGGGGACCTTACCCAAGGCTCTCCACCTCCCCAAATGACCTGTAAAATGGGCCAATGACCCCACCTCCTCTGGCTGGGGCGGGCGCTTGGATGTGGGTCTCCCGCGCATCCCGCCCTCTGCTCGTGTTTCCTTCTCCGTCCCCCTCCGCTCCTTTTTCTTCTTTCTTTTTTTCTTTTTTTCTGTCCCTCCCTCCTGCGCCCTTTTTCTTCTCAGCTCAGCAGTCCTAGCCAAACCGCAGCCTTTAGCAATCCTGCGCGCCCGCCCGGCGCCCAGGGAGCCTCCGGGCGGCCGCCACCCGCCCGCGGCCACCCCGCCCCCCACCCCGCCCTCGCGCCACCCCAGGCCGGTCCCCGGGACGCAGCCTGCCAGACTGCCCGCTGGCGGGGTCGCCCGAACCCGAACCTGCCCCGGCCCGCCTTACCGGAGGTCGTGCCCCACCTCAACCTACCCTGTCCACCCGGGGTCACACCCAAACCCGCCATCCCGCGTCCTGCCCTCCTCCCTGTCCTCGTCCTCCCCGCTGGCAGCGGCGCCCAGTCCCAGCTGCCGCGAGGACGAGGCGAAGCGGGACGCAGCGGCCAAGGCCGTGCCCGGGTGGCCGAGGGCACCGGGCGGGGCGGCGGGCTCGGCCGCCAGGACTGAAAGCCCCAGCCTGACCGCAGCCCGAGGGCGACGCTGCAAATAGCCGCGGTTTCCAGCCGGTGCCCTGCCTGCCTCCCGGCCWTCCGGACCTTTGGGGTTTTCTCTCCCTGCTTTCCGCCGCCCTCTCTGCTCGGCCAGATGCCTCCTGCCTCGACCCGCTGGGCGCCCACCACATCCTGCCCCCCACGGGGTGGTTCCTGCGCCCGCGAGGACCAGAGCTGGCACCGGGGCCAGGAGACCTGCATCAAGGTCCAGAGCTCCTGAGGCTAAGAGTCACAATTAAGTTAGAGTTTATTAAATACTGTGCAGAGCACTTTCCTAGCAGGCCTTCATGAAATGTTTACCTTGCCCTATGAGGGGCAGCTTCAATTTGCAAATGGTGAAACTGAGACTTATTCTTTAGGGGCTAAAGTCACCCCCTTTACATCTGCAAATGGAAGGCCATCTCTTCTGTCCAAAGGCCCATGCTGGGTCTGCCTGCACCCTTCTTCCCAGTCAGGCCCCAGGGAAGATGGGAAGTCACTGACTGGGAAGCTGGTCTGCCACTACTTCTCAGTGTCATCTAGAGCAAGCCCAGACTGCCTCAGTTTCAGTATCTGTAATAAAATGAAGAGGATGAAAAGCAAAACTCCATCAGTTTTTTTTTAATTGTGGTACTGGGGATTGAACCCAGGGCCTTGTGTGTGCAAGGAAAGCACTCTACCAACTGAGCTATATCCCCAGCCCAGTAAAACCCCATTTGTATGAAAGAACTTGATAACAACAGTGGAAAGCCCAAAAGAGAACGTGAGGCATTAAGCATCCTGCCCTTAGACTTAAGAGTCAACAAGATACCTCTCTGGAGTGCTGAGAAGGACCATAGGCCAGCCCAGGCTTGGGAGAAATAGGCTGAACCAGAGAACTGTAGCAAATTCTGGGATTCTGAAGCCATCCTGGCTGGGACCCACCAAAGAGATTTCTGGATGAGGGGAGTCCCCTCCAAATACTCGATGCTAGCCCTTATTTAGCTCTGTCTTAGCTGGCCTGGACTCAGAGTGAATGCACAGTTATTAAGGACCATTTGCATGCCAAGTACTGTCTTTCACAGCCCCCTTCTCAAAGAGCTCACAGCACAATCAACAACCACATAGCCAACTAGCAGGGCTGCCTTGTGCCCAGCTGGCCCATTTGGGAGAACTGGAGCCAACCTCCTTCTTCCAGGGTGTGCAGCCTCCCTCGAGGATCTGTGGAGGATCTGTTGCTCAGTGATCAAAACAGGCTGAGTTCCACTCTCCCCTCAAGCACTACCCTTGTTCAGTACACAACCTGCACAGCCTCTCACAGCAGTCTTTGGAGAACCATAAGAGATGTATTGGAAAAGAGGCCAATTAATTCTTGCTAGAGACGGGATTAGAGACAGAAAAACCCTAACAAGGTAAGTGGGACCAAACTTGAAGGATGATTGGGAGTTTACCAGTGGAAAGGAACATCCAGGCAGAGGCAATGACAGGCTAAACCATGAAGGTGGGAAGTCTCATCCTGTCCTGGGAGCAGGTGGTGGGTTGGAGTCTCAGGCAGGGCAAGAGAGGCTGGCACATGCCAAACAGAATTTAGCCTATCTGCCACCAATAATAGTAAACAGGCATTTACATATTTACCATCAAGCACTGTGCTAAGTGTTCCGCATGCGTTATCTCATTACACCAAATTTTGGAAAGAGTGCTATCGTTAATCCTGTTTTACATGAGGGTTATAAGGTCTCACAGTCATTCAGAGAGGAAGCTAGAATTGGAATTCAGGTCTCTGAACAAGCCCTGGTTCTAGACTTCTGATGGGTGGACAGACAGATGGATGAATGGATGCCTCGGTGAAAGAGGGAGGAACTGAACAGGGAAGGTTTGTGATATAGCTCAGCTGGTAGAGTGCTTGCCTTGCATGAACAAGACCCCTGGGTTCAATCCCCAGCAGAAGGGGAGCTAGATGATGGGGTACTAAGTTCTGGGAGGAAGACTCTGTACAGGGGAGCAGGCATCAAAGGGGGAGGAGCCATAGGGAGGAGCCACCTGCCTGTTTCTTCCTCTTTCCAACATGAGGTCCCCTGGGGGTTGTGGGCCTGGAGCTGGACGCTGCACACCCAACACACTATGCCATTGTGCACTGCCCCTGGAGGGAGACAGTCAGAGGTGAGGCTGGTGTTGCATCAGAGTGCTAAGCCCTGGATCAAATGTTGGGGGCACAGCAGGGAGAGGTCTGATCCCTCCTCCTGAGCAGCTCGGCCCATCATTGGCCTTCCCAGACCAGAGGCAGCACAGGGTCAAATAAGCTGAGAAAGGAAAGCAGAACAGCTGGAAGGACCAGAGGACAGGGGAATTTCCCCCTCCTACACTCAAGCAGCCAAAAGGCAGCCACTGGAGACGGTATCTTCAGGCCGAGACGGGCTCCCAGAGGGTTCTCAATCAGAGCACGCGCACCATGCTGCCCTGCCTCACCCTGCTTTTCCTGATAGGGCCGTCCGTATGCAACACAACAGGTGACAGTGGAGAGGAACTGGCACTCAGCGCCGAAGCAGGGCCCTGGGTGACTCTGATCCTAGAGGTAACTTTGGGGAGAGGTTCTGTGCAGGGCAGGGGGTGACCCATGGTGGAGGGGCGGAAGATCCTTTCCACACCTGCTTGGAGAGCTGGCGGTTCACTGCAAGGCAGGTCAGCTGACTCCCCTCTGTGACTAGCTTCAAGGCCATGACCAAAGAGGTCACGGCTCAGACGACTGAGAGCATTAGCTGTGTRTGTGTGTGTAATGTATGTGTGTAAACACTTATTTAACACATATTGTATTCCTAGTACTGACTAAATGCGTTATAAACACTAAACACATTTAATCTGTATTTCAACCTCATGGGGAGAGTACCATTATCATCCCTATTTCACAGATAAGGAAGCAGAGACAGAGAGGTCAAGTAGTTTGTCCAAAGTTGCATAGCTTCAAAAGCACAACTGCGCATCTTGTCCAAGATCTTATTTTGTGTATCTCTGTATCAGAAATTTTCTAGAATATCCTTTTGAGGGGATCAACTTTGGGCAAGGTCACTGTTTTGTCACACATGTAGAAACACTTTTATTTCCTGACCAGTACTGATATGATAGCAGTCTTGTCTACTCCCCTGAGCACTGTCACTAGGGAGAAATCTAAAAACTGGAGACCCAACATTGCTACCACCCCAACCACAACCAAAATCTGATCTGATCTGATTCAGAAGACAAAGACCTTTGATCTTGGAGCTCCCAATTCAACCAGGGAGAGGGGCTAATAGACCAGAGACAAACAGGTAAATAAGAGACTAGTGCTCAGAGCTAGGTATGGTGAAGCACAGCATGGTCCAGGGCCATGCTGAGGTCCTTGGAAGCGCTTAGAAAATGGGGCCAAAGGAAGGAAGACTTGTGACATGGCAATCAGTGATGGTTTCCTTTCTGGTTTAAACATGGAACTGTGGATAGCAAGAGGGCAGTGGGCCTGGGAGACGTGGGCTCAAGTCAGCTTCTCCACCGGCACCTACTTCTCTCTAGACCTGTTTCTTTACTTGCAAAGTGGGGAGTAGGCATGATACCCAAGATCTTCCTTGAGCTTTGACCGATTTCGGGCATCTATGCCAAATGGTGGGGAACCCRACGATATGAGAAGCCCGGCTGTGTGAGGGGGCACTCTGGATGGAGCCGTGTGGGGACAGTTGTCAAAAACTCCAGCAAGTTCTGCGGGCTTTCTGCCCACCCACAACTCATCCTGCAGCCGTTCTCATCCTTAGTCTCCTTTCACTTTCCTCTGCCTCCCAAGATGCAGGACTTGGAGTACAGGTGGAGAGACCCAGTTAAAAAGCTGGAGAAACTTCCAAACACTGTGGGTTGCTAAGCATTACTATAGGAGGCTGGCGCTTGGAGACACCTTCCCAATGATCTGCTCGCTCCCCAGTTTAGGGCTCCCTGCCTGCTGTCTTCTCTGGAGCTGGGGATTTGGGTTAAACAGTATGGAGGGCTCCACTGAGGGAAAGATCTTCCTGAGTGAAAAGGAATGGATGCCTTCTAATGTCCCTGCAGAAACCCAGTGGCTAGGAAAAGGGTCAGTCCTATTTAAACTTTAAAGGGCCATTCTCTCCCACTTGCATTTGAAGGCTGCCTTTTACCAAGGCAAAGTGGTTTTCATGAGCTTCTCAGAAATGGGTCCAAATCTCCAAAGAGACTTCTCTGGTTTCTGGCCAGGCTGGGCGACTCCAGCCTGAGACAGCTGCTCCAGCCACTGACGACCCAGGGAGGAGACAGATGGGAAGTGAATGAATTAGTCCACAATTAGAAAACAATCCACTCTTGATCCCAAAAGTAGGGACAAAAAAGACTGTGAAAGGCCTGTGGGTTCCCATTGCCCCCAGACAGGTCCATGCTGGTCCTGCTAGAGTGGGGGCTCCAGCCCCTGATCCGACCTCAGCTCCCAGTCTCTGGGAAGGTGCCTGCATTACTCTGGGCCCTTTCTGCCTGTCTTCCTGGAAAAGGAGGTCCCATCCCTTTCCCTGTTCCCAGAAGGATCCTATTCTGGGTTATAGAAAGGACCACCACTTCTGGGGCTCAGGCTAAGGGAGAGAGAAAGTGCTTTAGCCAAGGTCACGGAGGTAACAAAGGAGGGAGAACTTAAATCCACCGACATGGGTCTAGATGTTTGTCCTGTCAGCTCAAGGATTAAAATGACTGCCCACGGTAACAGCCTCCGCCCCCCCCCCACCACCACCACATGCTGCTGGAAGGCACAGACCCCAGGGTAGGTAAATCTGGGACAATAGGGGAAGTGCCAAGGGCAAGGAAGAGAGCCAGAGTTAGAGTAGAAGCAGTCCCACCCTGTCTCCTTGGTGCCCCTGAGTTTAATGGGGATCCCTTCCTTGCCTGTGTTGGGGATGTTTTCCAGAGCAGAATTCTGGGAGTCAGACTTTTGAATTCTGATTCAGCCACTTGTGTGACCTTGGACAAGTCACTTACTCACCTTACATCTTAGATGGCCTGGGTTCATCTCTCACTTTCTAGCTGGGTGATTTTGGACATATTTAATCTCTCTCTACCTCTGTGTTTTCATCTGTAAAATGGTAACAGTAAAAGTACTGGGTAGTGTTTTCATAGGGGTTTGGTGAGCATTAAATTAGTTGGTACATTAAAACCCTCAGAACAGTGTCAGTAACTTAGTAGGTAACATGTTAGCTGGTAAATATTATAATGCACAATAGGATGGAAATATGCAAATGAGCTCAGTGCCAGCACACAGCAAGTGTCCTGTGACTGAGCTGCTGTTATTGAGATTGTTACTGCTGAGGATTTCCTCCTCGACAGCACACCCCACCCTACTGTTAACTCTGCTTCTTCAGGAGGTTGTTGTCCCCAGCATTCAGCTCCAGCCGCAGGAGGGGAAGAGGAGCAAGGCAAACCAGTTCTTTGGGCTGATGGGGAAGCAGGTGGAAGGTGAGTGACAGTCGCATGCAGGAGCCCAGCAAAGTGTGGTTCTGAGTAGGTCCTGAGAAGGGGCCCTAGGTTAAAGCAGTGAAGCTTGGATCGGTTACTCCAGTCCAGAAGGGGTCACTCCTGAGATGAGGTGGGGTAGACCATTCATGTAAATTACCATCCTTGGGGAGTGTTAACAATGACAACAGGCAACAGATGTAAATAGAGACTTTCCTGGCATATGGGGAGCACAGACACCTTAATGGTTGGGCAAACACCTTGCACTCTATCTGGTGTCCCTGGCTTCCATTCCTGGGTGACTTTGGGGAGCAGCAGTAAAGCTAGAGGCCAAAGTCAACACACGAGCAAAGCAACCAGCCAAGCTTTTTAGTTGTTTCTTTGGCTCAAATAGAATTACTAAAATAAACCTCTGTTTCCCAARGACACTGCCAACGTGGGAGTCCTGCCTAGGGGGGAAAGGAGGTTGCAAGCGGTTTTCTCCTTGCTTATTGTCAACATCCTATTGGGGGGGTGAGGGGGTACCAGAGATTAAACTCAGGGGCACTCAACCACTGAGTACCATCCCCAGCCCTTTTTATATTTTATTTAGAGACAGGATCTCACTGAGTTGCTTAGTGCCTTGCTGTTGCTGAAGCTGGCTTTGAACTTGCAATCCTCCTGCCTCAGCCTCTGTAGTTGATGGATTACAGGTGTGCATCCTATTTCTTAAGTGGTCATGCTCAGTGTTGATGAGGACATGAGGAAACTGGCATTTTTATTCACTGTCTATATCCATCAAAATAGAAAATGTGCATGCCACTGATCAAAGAATTCTTTTTAACTCTTTTGTAATAGGGAGAATTTGGAAATAACATAAAGGCCATCATGGGGGAAAGACTGAAATATATTAGGCACATACATAACCTCAAAGACATTTAAAAAGATGAGGCAGCCGAGCACAATAGTGCATGCCTGTAATCCCAGCATCTTGGGAGGCTGAGGAAGGAGGATTGCAAGTTCAAAGCCAGCCTCAGCAACTTAGCAAAGTCCTGAGCAACTTAGTGAGAACCTGTCTCTAAATTAAAAAACATAAAAAGGGCTAGTGATGTGTCTCAGTGTCCGCTGGGTTCAATCTCCAGTTCAAAAAAAAAAAAAGAGGCAGATTTGTGGGCAGATATGGAAAGAGCTCTAAGATATATGGTTAAAAGGAAAAAGCAAGTTACAGAACAAATATACATGATAAAAGCCTACTTGTTTAAAAAAATTACATACTTACACATATATGCAAACTCAGGAAAAGTTCTAGAAGGATAAACATCAAACTGTAAGTAGTGGTTGTATCAAGGACAGGAAGTAGAGAATGAGGGGGATAGAATGAAGAGGAACTTTAATTTTTACTGTACAAACCTTTACATGGCTTGGGTTTTAAAACAGTGGGCGAGTATTCAAGGACTACTTCTGCAGTTAAAAAAAAAAGTATGCATATAAAAATAGAGAAAACCAACTTGTGACCAGTTTTGGCCTTAGTTTCCTCTTTTACAATCCAACAGCCCAGGAAGAGCAGGGGATGGAAAAGAAAGATTTCCTGAGTATGACAGTTTAATCTCCTTATCACCAGTGGGGACTCAGCTTCCAGTGGGGGAAGTCCCTTCCCCAAGGATGCCCACCCAGCAGGTGCCAGGCACCAATGAGGCCAAAGTGTGTATATCACATTACTCCTCACTGCCTCCTGCCCGGAACACTCCTGCTGTCACTTGATGACACCAGGGGAATGACTATAGCTCCAATGAAGACCCCCCCGCCCTACCTCCCCAAGCCCCCAAAAGGGGTGGCACAGTCTTCATTCCTTCTTTTTCCTTCCCCCAGGAATACCTCCCATCCAGCCAGAGAGAGCAGGTAAGTGTTGCCTAGACCTTCTCTCCGCATGCTGTCTGGGGATGGGCAGGCTGTCCCAGCCACTAGCAAATCAGAAATGCAAGGCTGGCATTGCAGTGTAGAGGGTGGGGCCAGTGTGGTTTGGCCAAGTGCTGGGCTTTCTGGTTGTTTCCATAGAGGGTGGTCCATGCATGCCTCGGGAATGCTTGCAGGGCTGGGAGGAGACAGGGGTGTCTAGTTCTGCCAAATTTCAAAATCACTTTCGATCTAAATCCTAGAGTTGGAAAAGTGAATCAAAGATCAGAAGTGCTCAAAGCTTCAATCCCCTGCATACTGCAGGATCTTAAAAGTGAAAATCTGATTAGCCATTACCCTGCTAAAACCTTTCAGCTGAAAGGGAAAAACAAAATCAAAAGAAAGCAAACCAGCCTGTACCCATGACCCCTGAGTGCTCTCGGGATCAAGCCCAACCCCAGCATACTTTTTGGGCCTCACTGACTTGACTCTGGCCCATCCCTGGCTGCTGTCCTCCCTGACCACCTGCCCTGCCCAGCCAGTGTGGTCTCCTCAGCCTGGGCACTAGATTCTCCTTGGCATAGTACACTGTGCTGTCCTGCCAGGTCACACAGCTGGTGTTCCCAGCCCTCCAGTGCTCGGTATCCCAGATACACAGTCTGGTTTCTTCCAAAAGAAGCACCCACTATTGGGCTGGGGATATAGCTCAGTTGGTAGAGCACTTGCCTTGTATGCACAAGGCACTGGGTTTGATCCCCAACATCCCCACACACACACCCCACACTAGGTGCTAGGAAAAACAGATGGGAGAATGGAAGAAAAAGAAGAAATCAGGGTTGGGGCTGTAGCTTAGTGGCAGAGCTGCTTGCCTAGCATGCATGAGGCACTGGGTTCAATCCTCAGCACCACATAAAAATAAATAAATAAAATAAAGGCATGCTGTCCATCTACAACTACAAAAAAAAATTAAATAAAAAAAGAAGAAATCATGAATGAAGACATGAAAGAATGAAACAATCCAGGGTATCCCTCAACTGCAAGATGATTGAGAAATGACTCCATTTTCAAGGTCCCAGCTTTGGCTCCGGTCCTGCCCTTCACTGGTATCCACGACAGTGGTTCTCTGTTGCCTCTCTCTTCTCTCCCTCATCTTTCTTCCTCACCAGGGTATAAGCTGGGACAAATGGTCCAGGCCCTCCTGAGCAGGAGGGGATCATCCATGGAAGGTAAGCGAAAGCCCCTGGTGGGCCACAGGGACATCATAGGAAAGTGGCCTTGCATTTTGCTGCCAATCAGACAGAACAGGCTTCCACAAGCCACCAGCAGTAGCCCCTTGGGAGAGGGTAGGGGTGTAGGGAGGTGACCCCTGATGATTCAGAACAGAAATAACATGGCTCTGAAACTGTGCCCTCCCCACCCCAACATGCCCCAGCACACTCTGCTCTGCCCCCCGGGGCCAGCTGAACCCACAGTGATGTGTAGTTCTCCATCCTGAAACATGCCCTTACTCCCTCACTGTCCATAAAGTCCTAGTCCTTCCTATTGAGAGGGTGGTGTCTTTCAGTCTTAAGAGATTCACTGCCTTCATCAAATGTCATTAAGTGCACATCATTCTGAGATGGGTACTATCCTAAACAGTTACTAGTTTATACCTCTGGCAGGCGTCAGGCATGGAGGCTGGTAAGTGAATTGGGCAGGGAAAAGTCACAGGTCTGGAGAGCCCACACAAGAAGTGAGTCAATGGGTGCCCCAGAGGTCAAAGATACTTATGAACCTGAGCTCTAGGCTCCCTTCCCTAGTGCCTAACCTCTTCCTCTGAGCTGCAGACTTTGGGGTTCCTCCCTTACTCCCTAAATAGAACATCTGCTTGGGAAAGGTCTCTATTTTCTCCTGAGATTTTCTTGATATGTTTGAACCACTCCATTTAAAAGACCCTGGAAGTCACCCCAACAACAAATAGAAACGAGTGCCACAGGAATGCTGTGCACAGGAAGCTTAGAAGCTGTTGTTTTTTGGAGATGGAAAGCAATTTGTTCCAAGTCACAAGTAAGCTAGTAACAGAGCCAGGACTAAAAGCTATGTCTCCAATTTCCTGATCCATGGCACCTCCCATGTCCCCAGGCAGGCCTTTGGGACTTTTGAATGCCGCTTCCTCTTCTTTAGAGTATAACTAAGGATTGGCTCCATCCCTGTTCTGGAGGCACTTATGATTGAATAATGGAAGATATGGCAGCAGGTCTGTAATTCTGCCACCCTAGATAGCTACGGACAGAAGAAACATGAGAGGGAAATGGAGGGCCCTGGGCAGTGACTAGGGAAGGCCTTTCAGAGTAGGGGAGACATAAGAGCCCCCTAACCACCATCTGTGTACAAAACTCTCCCCAGGCACAGAGGATGAGGACCCAGGTTCAGAGTGAGAGCCTCCAGAGGATGCAAGACCTCTTCCCTGGATCTCACTGCTGACTCTCTCCTCCCGGGTCTTCAGTCCTGCATGCTGGCAATCCACACCAGCCCTGCACTGAACTCACTGGGCTTCTTCCAGGACTCTCAGTGACAAGCTGTGGTACACAGATGCACTGTGGTCACCCTGATGAGCAGGAGTGGCCCTGCCCTCCCCCACATGTTGTGCATCACCAGAGTTAGCTTCACAGCACACAAGCAGGGACTCAATAAATGAATGACCACTGAATGGCTTCCTCTGTGGTGTGTGTTGGGGTGGGGGGTGGGGGTAGAGGGCAGGATGTCAGCAGGCCACCAAGCTTTTATCAGAATTGCAAAGGAAGCCTACTAAGCCCAGGTCCAGTTCTCAGATGGGAAAACAGGCTTGGGACACAGGTAATGAGGTCCTACACAGAGAAACAGGGAAGAGACCTCAGGGTGAGGAGATGCAGCAGGTATTTTGGAGTGGGAGAGACTGAGGGCAAGGGAGACTTTTCCCTTTAGGCTCCTCATCTTCTCTACCCCAACCATGACCTCAAGGGTTCAAACCCACACATCTCCTGATTTGGAGAACTGGGTCCCAGGCCACTCATCAATTCCTTTGTATAAGGTGGCCCCTTTGCCTTTAAGACACAGTGATCCCATTTCTGAGTCTTGGAAAGAGCACTAGGGGAACAGAACAGCTTCCAGCCTCAGGAGGTCCCCAGTGTGTTGGGGGGACCCTTGTCCCTGCCCTTGTAGTTTGAGGCAAGTGGGACACAGAGGAACCCAGAATGCCTAGAAAGAAGCCTATTAGCCAGAACGAAGCCCCAGGGGAAACCTAAGCAACGAGAGGTTCTGAACCAGGAGTGAGTTGGGAATTATGTGGGGAGGTTCAGCTGTAAAGGAGATCCATTCATTCACCAGGCCACAAGACGTTAAGCTTCTGTCACTCAAAAAAAAAAAAAAAAAAAAAAAGGTTAGTTTTTCTGGACATTTGAGTCTTGTCAGGGAATGTGAGTGGGAGTAGGTTATATTTAAAAGGAGGGGAAAGCAGGCCTTGATGGAGGGCAGGACCTTCATCTAGGTGCCAGGGAAGTGATAGGAAGGCTGATAAGGGGAAGCCAAATGGTGCCAGCACAACCTGTGGCTCCTTCCATCTGACCTGTAGTGACTCTGTCCTAAGACTGCCTGCTCATTGTAAACCCAAAACACACCCTGAGCCTTTTTTTTTTTTTTTTTTGGCAGGAGCTGGTACCTGGTACCGGGGATTGAACTCAGGGGCACTCCACCACTGAGCCACACCCCCAGCCCTATTTTGTATTTTATTTAGAGGCAGAGTCACATAGTCACTTAGTACCTCGGTAAGTTGCTGAGGCTGGCTTTGAACTCAAGATCCTCCTGTCTCAATCTTCCAAACTGCTGGGATTACAGGTGTGCATCACCATGCCCGGCTCCTGAACCTCTGTTTTATCTCATACCTGTCATGTCCAATGATGCATATGGGAGCAGGGGACAGTGCAGGCGTCCTAGGAGTCTTACACTGCCGAACTCCCCCGTCAAGGAGTTTCCTAGCCTCCCCAGTGCCCATTTCGCCCTAGCCCCCCTATCCAATGGTTGGTCCCAAGGGATGGGTTGCTTCAATAACCCAACTCAAGGAGCAGCAAAGGGGTTTATGACTTTATCCATGTGTTTGAAGTTTGGGAGGTTTAGGAAAAACCAAACATTTAATAAGTTTGCTCAATATGCTAGCACTTCCCTGGAACCTCAGATAGGACTGGGAATATGAAAGAAGTGAGATAGGAATTTGCTCTGATGACCTAAGGTCCTTAGAAGAGAACCAAGATGCACTCACTCTGGAAAGCCCACAGCCTTCTTGCCAATCATCTCTTTGGAACCCACCATGTTCCCTCAAGCTCCAGTTCCAGCACATGCCATTCCCTTTCCATTTTGTGGGTTCTTATTCACAGGTCAATTTCTCCATAAAGCTTCCCCCTTGGGAAACTACCCATTCATTGCCTGCTCAGTGTTCCCAAAGCACCTTATACACTTTCTTCCATTCACACTCAATAGAAAATGTGTTGCTCTAATTAGTTTGCCTCAAGGTCAGGAACCTCACCTTAATTATCTTTATACCCTCAGCTCAAACAGTAGTGCTTGATGCATAAGTGGTCCTCGGGGAGTGGGTTGGAGGGCTCACGTTTCCTGTCCACAAGGAGTCTGTCTCGAGGGAGCCAAAGTTAATGCAAGTAACTGAAGTAAATAACAGCAGCCACTGCTTAGTGAACACAGTGGGTAGTCCTTGAACTCTGCATGTCCGACAATGAACTTCTGATCTGCATCGATACACATTAGTATACCCAGATGCCAAAGAAAGCTGGGAGTTACTCTTCACCTCTGATGCATCCTCTAGCTATGGAGGATGTCAAATTCTTCCACTTCTGGCCATCTCCGCTAGCTCCATTAACATAAGCCACCCTTGGCCCTTCTTGGAAGGGAGTGGCCTCCCCACAGTCTCTGCTTTCATCTTGCTGCCATCCACTACTTTTTTTGTGTGTGTATGTGGTGCTGGGGATTGAACCCAGGGTCTTACACATGCAAGGCAAGCGCTCTACCAACTGAGCTATATCCCCATTCTTCCCCATGCCTTTCAAAAAAGGAAAATGGATTGTACCCATCCCTGACCAGTTCAGTGCTGCCCTGAGATAAGCACAACAATCTTGTCAACGCCTCCAAGGTCCTGTGCTCTCTGTTCTCTCCTCTCATTCCTCAAGCTCATTACCAGGTTCTCAGGCTTCCCCAACTGGATACTGCCCCAGTTACTCTACTTCTCTCCTGGGTTATCTTTCAGGTTCTAGGATAAAGGCCCTTTTAAAGACAGGGCTTCTTAGTTCAAGTTCAACCAATTCTCTTTTGCTTTTTTTTTGGTCCTATTCCTGTTACACTGATCACAATTGAAAATAATTCGCCTCATCCAGGAGATTGCTAGTCACTCGTGTAGCACTACGTCCAGTCACTCGTGTAGCACTACGTCCCGGGACCTAATGACACTTATGAATATTTGCGTACTGAATGAATGTCAGGCACTTTGCAAGACAATTCACCTTCACAACCACGATTCCTGGTCTGCAGATGAGTATAAGCCACTTTCTTGAAGTTACACAGGAAATGGCAGAGCCGAGATTTGAGTCAAGGCAGCTTCACTCCACATGCTCAAACCTGACGCTTACAAGCCTCAGGTGAAATTATAAGTGGGGCCTCAAAGGAATCCCTTTTTAACTGGACCTATTTGGGTAGGGGAAAAAAAAAATTCCCAATATGTCTGACCCCAGCATACCAGAATCTCAAGAAGCTCCATCCAGATCAAATCATTTCAGAAATGTTACATTCTCCCTCCTCTTTGGAAAATCTAGTATGCATTAGCTTACTAGAGGTTTTGAGAAGTCCAGAAGTCAAGACATATACTGGTACTTACAGTGTTTTCCAAATTTATTTTACCACAGCACTCTTTGTTCATACTTTTGTATTTAATGGAAGACTTCTGGGGAATGTTGAAGTGGAGGCTTTCCCAGTAAACACAGAGAAGGGGATAATGGGCTAATTCAGCTGCATGCTGAGGCTACGTGGAAGGGAATGATGAAGGCTATGAGGGCTGAGTCAGCTTATGGAAAAACTTGAAAGCCAGGATAAATACGAACTTAATCCAAGGAGCACAGGAGGTCACATGAATTCTTGAACAGGGAAGTGACAGGCTGTGTGTCAGTTGTAGAAGCACATTAATCCACTTCTAAGGAAGTGGGTGAGAATTCTAAAGCCAGAGGCCTCAGAAACAATTTGAGAGTTGGGATGTGCTAAATGACCACACTGGGGCTGAATTGACTGAGGGTGCCATTCACATAAGAGTTGCCCAAGATGGGGATCCTCCCCTGTGCACCTTCCAATTACAAGAAGGAAATAAATGGAAACTATAGGATCAAACTGAATTCTAGCCCTTCAGAAATCCTTTTTTTTTATTCTGCCCCCAATGGAATGGAACCAAGAGCCTTACACATGCTAGGCAAGTGCTTTTACCATTAAGCTATACCCCCAGCCCTCATTAAGTCCTGTCTCGCTTACCCTTTACTGTGTCAAACAATTCCAAAACATGGCTTAGAAGAATATTTCTCTGGGGTGGCGGGACTTAAAGCTGGATGTTTCGTTAGCTTCCTATGGTGACAGCAGGGACCATTCACAAAGCTGCAGTGAGGAGTTTGTCTGAAATTGAAACTTTCAAGAAATCCAAGTGTGGACTTGTGTAGCTACCAGCTAAAGTAACCCAGTTGTCCTACACATGGTCTTTTACTTGGTCTCCCTTTCCCTGGTAGTTTAGCCCAAGCTTCTAGCTTGAAAACATGTCAGCACATGTCCAACAGCAAAGGTGGAAGCTATCAGAAGCACTTCCATATCATTTTACCAGTCAGTCAAAATGAGTCATAGGTAAAAGTGGACCACTGATAGGAAGGAGCAGCACATACTTACGGGGATGGGAGCAATTGTTGGTAGCCATCTTTGAAGATATCCAAGAGTATAAGTTTCTGGTAACTTTGGAATAAACTTTTATAAAGCAAGATGTTTCCAGAAACAAATACCAGTTAAGAACAAAGACTGGCTTCTTGGAATGAACGTGACTTGGTTAAGAAAAAAGGTATTTCTCTCTACATGGAACACTTGGCAGGTACCATGAAGCTAGACTTGTACAACAGCACAGGTTATTCTCTCCACTCTTGGGCACAAGTAAACAAACTTCTAAGCCCCTAAATGGCGATGGCAGGACCTGTGTCTAAAGGTATTGCACAAGAGTGAAGAGGCAGTCTGATATTTTGGCACCAGGGGCATTTTTCACCACCAGGCAATCCTTTTGTTTCTTTCTTAGTGACATTTATTGGCATTGTTGAAGACACCACAAAGGAAGTGAGCAATTACACTGCTCCCATCAGCAGGAGATAGTCTGGAAGAAGCA